GCGTGCCTGCGTGCGTGCGTGCGTGCGTGGTGTCCGTGGTGTGTGTGTGTGGTATGTGTGGTGTGTGTGTGTTTGTGCAAGTCTCTCCCGCCTCGCACACCGCGTGCCTCCTTCGGTCTGGCACGACCGCGGCTGTCTGGCAGGCCAGGTCGTTCGACATCGGCCGTGTCCGGGACGCTGGAGACCGTTGTTGTATTTTTGCTCGGCGATCGTCTACTGTATCCAGAGGCCAGTAACCTAACCCTTACGTTTGTTCAGCACCTGTGGAGCTTTGGAAGGCCTGCTGGGGGGCGAGCTATCCGCAAGAGCAAGGGCGGCTCTTCACCCAAGGAGCCCCATCGATGCATCCACGCCGTTCATCGGGGATCTGCTCGCCTGGGTCAATCAGACCTGGGTCAGCAGGAAACCAAACACTGCACTGCAAGAGAAAGAACTGCAACGCAGGGCTCGGCAAACCCGGGTCAGCCAATATGCGTGGCCGCGTCGCGGCCAGCAGCGGCTCGCTGACCCGGGTCAGCCAGAGGGGGTCTTCGCAGGATCCTGCAGGATCCGGTGCCCTGGCTGACCACCGTTTGCACTGACCCCCGTCTCTCGAGCGCCGAAGTCCCGCCATCCAGGCCTCGGAAAAAAAACAGCGAACACGCATGCCACATTCCTCTGTGAACGCCACCCCCTCCCCCCAATGTTCAAAGTTGGAGTTGGCGGTGGGTCTGATGAGTTGCACCTCGACCGCAGTCTCCCCCGCGCGTGCCAACCTTGAGTTTGGGGGGCAGGGGAGGGGGGGGGGTGTTCACTAATTGTTTCCCTCTGCCGTCCGCGGGACTCCGGGCAGGGCCGCGGAACGGGCAAGGACTGATGGTCCTGAGCCTGCGGGCCCTGCGCCTGCTCTCGGGCAGAACGCTGGCTTGCCCACACCTTGCCGTCGCTCGGACGTCCATTTCCCGTCCATTTTTCGATTTCGTGCGTGTTTTTTTTTCTGCTCGATGGTCCAGGATGGTCCTCGATGGTTCTCGCCGAGAAAACATGCACACGTCCGAGCGATGCCAAGACACCCAGATCTCGCACGCGAAACGTGACGACGCGGCGGGCTTGCAAACATCGCGAGCCTGCAAAATCGTGTCCCTGCGAAGACGCTTCCACACCTGCTGAGGCGCCCGCAGTGTCGACCGTTTTGGCAGCCCTGGCCGCAGAGGGTGGAGAGAAGCTGAGGGAGAGAGCAACTGAACTGAGAGGGGCGCGCCACAAAGAGGGGGTGGGTGGAGTGGGGGGGTACGAGCCACGGGAGAGAAGCCGTGGCGAGAGAAGCGCACGCCGAACTACACGCACGCCAATTCTGGTCTCTCAGAGACCACCCCGTCTCCACACCCGGAAAGTCAGCCCCCGTGCCTCCAAGGCTTCTGTGTTCAGAGACGGTGGCGCGCGAAGGTAAAAGAGGAGTAGGAGCAAGAGGAGGAAGATGAGGAGAGCATTAGGGATGCGTGGAGTGGACGAGGAGGAGTCGAGGAGGAGGCGAGCATGGGGCGAGGAGGACCAGGAGACTGGCAAGATTAGGAGGAAGATGCAAATGAAAAGGAAGAGGAGGGAGCAGAGGAAGAGAAGGGTGCAACGATGTGACCTGACGGACTAGGAGCCCAGAGGCCAAACGGTGGCCCAGGGACTCTGAGGGGGATTCTCGAGCAACGAGAACTCCTCCTCCTCCTCCTCCTCCTCCTCCTCCTCCGCCTCCTCCTGTCAACCCTCACGTCTTAAATGACCCAGCGGTATATTCTGGAGACGACAGAAGCGTGCGGGGTCGCCTTGGTTCACGATTGGGGTGGCCAATAAGTTGACTGGATCAACGCGGTTCGGCCACCTTGTTGCATGTTTCGACATCTGCCCGCGATTGCTTTATAACGCTTGCCAACAACCGTAAGCAACACAACGCGAATAACCGCAACACAAGGGGCGGTAAGGCAAATTACATCAGATCAGAGTGAGGGGTCCAAGCGGTCTTATGCCTCCACGGGTGCGTATGTAAAAAGCGGTTTCGCGGTGCGGATTCGTGCTCTCGTTGCTGGCCATACCCCCGCGACCTACCTGCAACCCGGCCCGCGACGCACCCCCGACCCTCCACGCGACCGACCCTCTAACCGACCGAATCGCGACCCACCCGCGACACGGCCCGCACCACACGGTGTGGTCACCGCACCCTTTGTAGAGGCCTCCAAGATGGGGTCGAAGCAGATGAGGTCGAAGGATCGCGCCGCATCGCGGAAGCATCGGCGATGCATCGACGACGCCGGCGACGCATCCGCGACGTCGGCGTGGAGAAAATCGGACCCCGCACCGAGCCGCATCGCCGATGCATCGGCGACGTGGCACGATGCTCCGACTCGAACTATCTACTCCGGCCCGAAGAGGTGCCGGGAGCGAGGGGCACGGGGGGCAACGGAGGAGAGCGGGGCACCTCACGAGCGGCGATCGCTTCTCCGTACCCGCGCCACCGCGGTCGGGCTTCTGGGCCGGGGCGCGACGGGGACACGCGGTCGCACGGACGCGCTCGCAGCAGGGCCCGGGCTGCGCGGGCCGCGGGGCCCGACGGGGCAGGGAGGGGGGGGCGGCCGCGTCGGGCCAGGGGACAAGGTTGCTCTCCGCGCTTTGGTCGTGCGAGGCGATGCGCAGCCTCTCCGTGGGACATCCCCCGCCCTGGCGTGCCAAATGGGGCTGGAGCCATAAGCTACAGACTTGCCCTGACCATCACCCACCACCCACCACCCACCACCCACCACCCCACACTCACAGGTGGGGGGGGTGGGGCCGGACTCCATACCCACCCCCGCACGCCCACAGGGAAGGCCTCACCACACCACGCCCGCAGGCTGGAGGGGGGGGCATTGCGCGGGGCTGGGGGTGGGGCTGGCCGATGGCATCAGCAGAAGGGGGGGGGCCAGACCCTGGACCTCTGAGACCTGCGACACCTGTGGGACCTGTGGGACCTGTGGGACCTGCGGAACACGTGGGACCTGTGGGGCATGTGAGACCTGCGAGACTTGTGGATGGGACGTGTGAGGCCCTGTGGAACCAGTGGAACCTGTGGTACCTGTGGGACCTGTGGCACCTGTGCGACCTGGAGGGACCTGTGCGGCCTGTACGCCCTGCGAGCCTGTGGGGCCCGTGGAACCCGTGGGATGTGTGGCACATGTGGGGCCTGCGGAACCTATGGGTGCTGTGGGAGCTGTGGGACCTCGAGAACCTGGGACACCCATTGGACCATGGGCCCTGAGGGACCTGTGGAACCTGTGGCATCCGTGAAGCATCTGGGACCTGTGGAACCTGTGGGACCTCTGGAACGTCTTGGACCTGTGAGACGTGTGGTGCCTGTGGCACCTGTGCAGCCTGTACGACCTGCAGGACCGTGGCCGTGACAACGAACGTGGCCGGCATTAAGAAACAGTCCGCTTCCTGTATGAACTGTGAGGAATCTCAGGCGAAATGGCGGCCGGACTGGGCGGTCTCGGAATCCCCGTAATTCAAAAGAAATGTTTATGATGTCGTGAGCCTTTTCCTTGATCTCTTTCTGAGGCTCACTCTTGACATCATCAATTTCTTTTGGAACAAACTTTTATTCTTTGGAAGGACCCCCTGTGGCAACGAAGACGAGAGCGCGGTTCTGGGACAGAATGTCAAGGAATCTCAAGCGAGATCGCCGCCATGCCAGCGCTGGACGGGGCGGTCTCGGGCGCCCCGTCCCTCCTGTGGGGCACTTCTGAAGGGGCCCTGGGACACACAAATAAATACACACAAATAACAGGATTTCCTACATTTTTGCATATTTTTTCGATTTTCGTCTTCCCCCCCACTACCCATATTTTTGCATATTTTCCTGGGAATCGACGATTAATTGTGTCTGTGTTTTTTTCCCTCCTGAACTTCTGCTGACATTTTTCTACCACTAGAACCCTCTGACGAAACGATCTGACGGACAAATGTAGCCGGCACGATTCCAAAACGAAACGGTTTCACAGCTCAGGCGAAACGGCTACTGGACCAGCCGGTCTCGGGCTCCACGTTCCCTGGGTGGCATGGAAGTGAGAGCACGATTCCCGAATAAATCAGGAGGAAGTCTCATGCGAAACCGCCACTGGACCGCCTCCTGAACGGGCGGTATCGGGCTCCCCGTCTCCCCTGTGAGACTCTTCTGTGGTCCTGTTTTCCAGCTCTCAGAAACCTCTAGTCGAGCGCTACTAGGTCGAAGGTTTTTTCACCAGGAATCGTGAACGTCCAGACCAAACATGTAGCCGGCATTGGGGCGAGACCACGATTCCTCAATCATAAAATGTGAGACCATGTGTGCATTAGCGTATCTATTACCAGGGATCGTGGCCGCCCGCACCAACAACGTAGCCGGCATTGAGGCAAGAATACAATGTGCCTGAACAAAGGAGTGGAGTCGCAAGCGAAACCGCCGCCAGAACGTGAGGGCCAAGCGTCCTCGGGCTTCCCGTCCTCCCTGTGCGGCTCTTCTGTGGTCTTCTGGCGAAGCATTCCTCTACTCTACCTCTATTAGAACCTCCTGACGAAGCGGCGTCAGGGAGACATGCATGTCATGCTTTACCTGATCCTAACAAGTTTCCTGTATGCGTGGCACGCCCAAGTCCCTGAAAAACTGACGTCTTCGCCTATATAGAACCGAAGGCACTCAGTGCAAAAACTCTGATACCCCCAACGATGAAACCAGCAACATGCTTGAAAGCGCGGTGCTCGAATTCGTTGGACTCCCACCGTGGCTGGACGCTACAAGACCCGCGTCCTCCCTCATCCTCCTCCCTCATCCTCCTCTAGCTCTACATCGACCTCTCTCCACCCCCTCTTCCTTCTCCTCCCCCACCTCCTCGAAGTCCTCCCTGTCGTCGCCAGCACCGTCGTCATCCTCCTCCTCCCCACCACCACCACCGCCAACACCACCATCATGATCACCATCAGCATCATGATCAGCACTATCATCATCGTCATCATCAGCATCATCATCATCAACACCACCACCATCACCATCATCATCATCACCATCACCAGCATCATCGTCATCAGCATCACCATCAGCTTCAGGATCACCATCCCCATCGTTGCATCACCATGGTCATTATCAGCATCATCACAATCAGCATCACAATCATCACCATCATCATCATCATCATCATCATCATCAGCATCAGCATCAGCATCCCCATTATCATCATCGTCATCAGCATCGTCATCGTCATCGTAATCGTCACCATCATCGTCATCACCACCACCACCATCATCACCATCAGCATCAGCATCAGCACCACCATCACTATCACCATCACCGTCCGTCATCATCATTGTCAGCATAGGCAACAACATCATCATCAGCATCGTCTCCACTGTCAACATAATCAGCAACAACATCATCATCACCAATATCATCTGCATAATCCTTAACAGCAGCATGCTCACAATCATCACCATCCTCCTCCACCTCCTCCTGCTCCTCCTCCTCCTCCACCTCCTCCCGACCACCACCACCGCCGCCAACATCACCATCACCATCACCATCACCATCACCATCACCATCACCATCACCATCACCATCACCATCACCATCATCAGCATCATCATCATCATCATCATCATATCTTCATCATTACCGTCATCATCATCAGCAGCAGCAGAAGAAGAAGCAACAGTATCATCATCAGCAGCAGCATCAGCATCAACATAATGAATCACCATCATGATCACCATCACCATCATCATCAGCATCATCATCAACATCATCATCATCAGCATCATCATCACAAGCATCCTCGGCTTCATCATCATCACCACCAGCATCAGCGTCAGGATCACAATCACGATCGTTGCATCATCATGGTCAGCGTCAGCAGCATCATCATCATCACCATCATCACCATCATCAGCACCATCATCAGCACCATCATCATCAGCATCATCAGCATCAGCATGATTATCATCATTGGCATCGTCATCGTAATCGTCACCATCATCGTCATCACCATCACCATCACCATCATCGTCCACCATCACCACCACTATCACTATCACCATCAACATCAACATCGTCGTCAAAATCAGCATAATCATCATAATCAGCAGCATCATCAGGAACGTCGTCTTTGTCAGAAGAGTCATAAACAACATCATCATCACACTCATCGCCATCATCCGCACAATGGTTAACAACGGCATGATTACCATCAGCATCATCATCCTATGATTACCATCATCATCATCCGCCTCCTTCTCCTTCTCCCCCTCCTCCTCCTCCTCCTCCGCCTCCTCATCATCAGCATCATCATCATTATCATCATCGTCGTCGTCATTGCCATCGTCATCATCAGCATCATCATCACTATCACCATCATCCCCATCACCATCACCATCTTCAGCACCGTCACCGTCGTCGTCATAATCATCATGATCAGCAACATTATTAGCATCGTCGTCATTGCCGGCATCATCATGAACGATATCATCGCCATCATCATCAGAATCAGCATCACCCGAATGATCGGCAACAGCGTGATGATCACCATCATCAGCATCAGCATCATCAGCAGCAGCATCAGCATCATGATCATCAGTATCAGCATCAGCATCATCATCATCGCCATCATCATCATCATCATCATCATCATCAACATCATCATCATCATCATCATCATCATCATCATCATCATCATCATCATCGCCATCATCATCACCATCATCATCATCATCATCATCGTCATCATTAGCATCATAATCAGCATCAGCATCATCACACTCACCATCATCATGAGCAGCATCAGCATGAACATTACCATCATCATCGTTATTGACATCGTCACCGGCCTCGTCATAATCAACAGCGTATCATCATCATCAGCATCATCAGCATCAGCTGCAGCAGCATCATCATCAGCATCATCAACATCATCACCACCTCCACTACCATCGTCCATGCCCTAAGCCTTATCCTAGTCGGCTCCTGCTCCTCCTGCTTATCCTCGTCTTCTATTTCTTCTTCAACCAGAACGTGGCCGTCATTCTGGCGGCCGCGCAAGACCCCGCCCCGCCCAGAGCAGGAGGTTTGCAAGCTCCCGGGGAGACCCTGGGCTTCCAGAACCAGGCGCAGGGCTTGCAGCCGCCGTCACCTTGGACACAAAGATCGGCAGAACACAAGGAGGAAAGAACGAGGCGAAAGGCGAAGAGAAAGAGGAGAGGTGGGATGAAGGAAGGAGGAAGAAGAGAGGACTGGAGACGGACGACGGACGAGGGAGGGGAGGGAGAGAAGGGATAGGGAAGAAGGGAGGAGCGAGGAGGGGGAGGGAGGGGAGCCAAACCAGGTGAACTCGCTCCATACCTGATCATCCTACCCCTTCCCACTCGTCGCTCCCCGTTCCGTTGAACCTTCGTTTATCCGCCGACTGGGGTGTCCTGGAGTACCTTGATGCCCAAATGACAGCTGTAGGATTCGACCATCGTATGCTGAGCCATAGAAAAGGGGGACGTTGGCACGTAGGAGGAGCAGCAGAAGGGATCAGCAGAAGGTCGGACGAGCAGAGGAGGCGGAGAAGGATGAGGAAGCGTGCAGAGCTGTCTGCACACGAAAGCACTGAAAGCTGGCCGCAGACTAGCGCTATCCACGTGTTTCGCGATGAAACTCAAAATGGCTAGAGGGAAGGATGAGACGGAGGCGGAGGAGGACGAGGGGCATCAGGAAAGAGGGGAAGGAACAGGCGCAGGAGCAGGAGAAGTGGGAGGAGCAGGAGAAGCAGGAGTATCAGCGTAAGACGAAGGCAGAATCGAGACAACATCGGACCGATGTAATTCTGACATCTCTGAGTCGGCGGGTTTGGGAGGATGTATCGGGCGCCGCGGTCGGCGCTGGGCGAAAGCGCCATTCAGGACGTTGGGAGCAAGGCACCGATCATAATATTATGCCTATGCTGCAGCGTGAGCCGCATGTTAAAGAACCCATAACACCCTGAACAAAGAAAACGCATGGAACTAGTAAACATTAACATCCTGCATGTGGAACAATTCGCGAGAGGGGCTGTGGCGGCAAAGTGGCGTCGAAAGATAGTAACGGGGCAAGAATGAAGGGTGGAAGGTTGGGAGAGCGTGGAAACCTGGGAATAGCAAAACAGTCAAAGGCCGCGCATGCGGACAAAAACTGATACATAGAGGAAGGTGCGGGGATGAGGGTAGGGTTGCGCAAGTGGCGGCTTGGCGGCAACTAGAGTTGGGAAGGAGAAGGTTAGTGGGGCGGGGTGAATACGAAAACATTACAGCAAGAATGGAGAAACGCTCCCAAGCACACTGAGCGATGAAAGTGGGAAGCACGAATGTAAATAAGTTCCCGAGCAAGCGAGATCTGGGTTGATGCAGATCTCACTAGCAAGAATGAAGGGTGCCGCAGGGGAGGAGGGCAAAGCAATGCACGCGGCGGCGTGACTAGCCGTCGCCTGCATCCAGTCGTTCCGTCTCGCTGCTCCCGCCCCTCGTTTCACCTCCTCCTTCTCCGAGGAGGAGGAAACCAACAGGCACCGATACTGCTAGTCCATGAGCGAAGACGAAGGAGAGGTAGCGGTATCGGTACCTCCTCTTCCTCGTCCTCCTCTCCTCCTCATCCTCCTCCGGAGGAGGAACCAACAGGCACAGATACTGCTACTACATGAAAGAAAACGTGGGAAGTCAGCGGCATCGGCACCTCCTCCTCGTCCTCCTCTCCTCCTCCTCCTCCTCCTCCTCCTCCTCCTCCTCATCATCAGCATCAGCATCATCATCAGCATCAGCATCAGCATCAGCAGCAGCATCATCACCATCATTAGCACCACCATCATCATCATCATCATCATCATCATCATCATCAGCAGCAGCAGCAGCATCACCACCACCATCATCGTCATGATCATGATCATGATCATGATCATGATCATGATCATCATCATCATCATCATCATCATCATCATCATCATCATCATCATCATCATCACCATCATTGCCATCACCATCACCATCATCATCAGCATCGTCATCATCATCATCACCACCACCAGCATCATCATCATCATCATCAGCATCAGCATCATCATCATCATCATCATCAGCATCATCATCAGCATCATCATCAGCATCATCATCGTCGGCATCATCAGCATTATCAGCATCATCAGCATCAGCATCAGCATCATCATCATCAGCATCATCATCATCATCATCATCAGCATCATCATCATCATCATCATCATCAGCAGCATCATCATCATCATCCTCATCCTCATCCTCATCCTCCTGAACCTCGCACGGGCCTCGCCCCTCCGAAGAGGCTTCCCCTCCTCCTCCTCCTCCTCCTCCTCCTCCTCCTCTCCTCCTCCTCCTCCTCCTCCTCTCCTCCTCTCCTCCCTCTCCTCCCTCTCCTCCTCCTCCTCCTCCTCCTCCTCCTCATCCTCTCCTCCTCCTCCTTCCTTCCTCTCCTCCTCCTCCTCCTCCTCCTCCTCCTCCCTCCTCCTCCTCCTCCTCCTCCTCCTCCTCCTCCTCCTCCTCCTCCTCCTTCCTCCCCTCCTCCTCCTCCTCCTCCTCCTCCTCCTCCTCCTCTCCTCCCCCTCCCCCTCCCCTCCCCCCCCCCTCCTCCCTCCTCCTCCTCCTCCTTCTCCTCCTCCTCCTCCTCCTCCTCCTCCTCCTCCTCCTCTCCTCCTCCTCCTCCTCGCTCCTCCTCGTTCCGCCTCCGCCTTCTCCTCCTCCTCTCCTCCTCCTCCTCCTCCCTCCTCCTCCGCCTCCTCCTCCTCCTCCTCCTCCTCTCCTCCTCCGCCTCCTCCTCCGCCGCCTCCTCCATCCGCCTCCTCTCTCCTCTTCCTCCTCCTCCTCCTCCTCCTCCTCCTCCTCCTCTCCTCCCCTCCTCCTCCTCCTCCTCCTCCCCCTCCTCCCCTTCCTTGACCGTACACGCCTCGGGGGTTCCGAATTAGCCCCCCACCCCTCTGGCCTCCTCCTCCTC